GACAACTTCATCTGAACCGGCTGCTCTCCAAGAGCAGCCCCTGGTGCCACTATCCCAGCTGTGACATACTGCAAAGCTACGAAGAATTAAGACTTTTTCTTTGTTTTAAAGAGGAATTGCTTTCAATTTTAACCAAAACAACTACGAAACCAAAAGCTTTTATATACACATTTCGGTAGTGATCATAACTAGCAAACTGCATAAAGAATAAATATCAGTATTTCAAAAATTGACACCATAACAATACTACGGTTTGATGCAGCAAGCAGGGACAGAACACAGCACCCTACCAGCACGGCTATGAAGCTTTACATCACTGTTGGCAATGGGTAGCACGATAAACTAAGACTGATTTAGACACTGTTTTCCCCAACGATGCCGCCATGAGCACAAGCACTTGCAATATATGACGGGAAACTCGCAGCAATCCTCATAGCAGTGGCCTTGCACGAGCACTCGAAGCTATGACTTGTCAGTGCACTCTATTTTGGAGCAACTAAAGACTCCTGTACATTTGCGCTGCTGAACATTTAAGCAGCAGTTCTCCCAAAAAAAGACAGTTTTTGTATTTGCAGTTCTTAACAATAAAGTAGATAGGTCTGGCCAAAATAGTTTCCTCAAAGTAGGTCAAAACACCCATTCAAGACCACTTCTGCATTGGTTTCCTAGCAAATTAACCTATCCAGACACAGTCGGTGTGTATCCGGGTGACAGCGAGGCAAAGAACACCAAATACATTAATGAGGTAGCTCAGACTGGATCACTGCAGTTAAAAGTTTTATTGAACAAAAGAAGGTAAAACATGGTAGTCCAAGTTCACTGAGCAAAATGCAGCTCTCCCGCTGAAGCTGCGCTTTGTGCTAAATAACCTTATTAACTGAGACTATACAGAGGACACAATATGCAAGTTCTCAACAGCAAAGGAGAAAAGGTAGATTCAATTTGATCTGAAGGAACGGTCTGGTCAAATTCAGTGGCTTCAGTGAATGTTTCTAGCCCTTGTCTACCTATATTCAGGGCAGGCATACAGCAGGATATGCAACTGCACTGAACTCCCATATGTTCATAGTTGCTCCCATGCAAGCGGAAGCCAATTCTTGAAAAAATCCAAATTTAAAAAAACCCAAACATTTTAAATCTTTTGTTTGAAACATCACTCAACTGACTCAAGAAAAAAAACACTCAACATGTTATAAAAAACACCCGGCCCCTACAAGGTCTGCTTCCTGCAGTATTAAGAGTTCAAAATGATTTTTATTTCTCCTGTCTGCCTAAAATTCCATATGCTCTGAAAGCACCCCCAAAGTCAGGTGGGTAAACAGATATGTCAAAAATACTCTGTGAAAAGAGGGAGGTAGCTCAGGCCCCTTGGCAATGTTTGTGAGGGTTCACACCGCTGCAGTCTACCTCCCTTTGTCACCTGCAGTCAAAAACTAAAGGAAAAAAGGATTTCAATGATGAAGTCTCGTGAAAGAATGTGTTCAACACGAACTCTTCCAATTCAACTCAACTGAGGTTCCAAATGCGAGTTATAAGGTACCTCATACCCAATACACAACATTAAAAACGTACCCCAATTCATACATTTTATAGACAATACCTTGTTTCACTTTCATTAAACATTTGGCTCCGGTGAATACATTTTTTTTAATTAATTACCACTTGATAAACATTCTAGGCCAAACGAACAGCACATGTAATGTTAAAGTCTTTTTATTTCCAGTAACTGTACCAACTGCTGTAGGCTAAGCCTAACAGAAACTACTGAAGAAAAAGAACAGACTCCATGAACGCAGTGCAAAGGTATTACTACAACAACAGAAGTCAAGGGATGTTTCTAAGGTGCTGAAAGAGGAGATTCTCTAGAAGGAGACCCTGTATTGTCCTCGGGGGGAAAAACAGTGAGAGTGCAGGCTCGGATGCCCCCGAGTGATTCGGGAAGGTCGAACACTTTATGCCACTCATCTTTTTCCGGATCGTATTTCTGAACTATTTCCACCATGCACCGATTATTCCAGGAATATCCTCCAACCACATAGATTTTATTTTCAAAGACGGCTACCCCAACATCGCTTTGCCCACGCAGCATGGCGGCAATGGGAGTCCACTGGTCTAGAGTTGGGGAGTAGTATTCACAGCTTAGAACATCGTCGTAGTCGCTCGTTCCTCTGAAGTGATTTCCACCGATAACATAAAGCTTGTCTCCTACAGTACACATGCAGTGCAGACCTCTGACCGTCGTCATCGGGGCTTTCTGAGTCCATTTGTCTGTGTCAGGGTCAAAGCACATGAGTTCCTTTTGGAAAGTATCATGGGTGATTCCCCCTGAGGAAAGAAAACACATCTTAAGTACGTACTCTAGTGAGCAATAAATAGCCAAAACATCCATTTTAATGAATTCATTCAATCTGGCTTAAAACTTCTTACAGTAGTCTCACACATCTCCGCTATGCTTAAAATTACGTTTTTAAATGCACTTTGTTCTTTCCAATCTGAATATGGAAAGAAGCCACATCTCAGATTACTTTAACCGGCAGATTAAAAGCAAAGAAATTCCTTTCAACACTTGGTTTTGCCAAAATTATTATTCCTTCATTTACATTTATTCAGTTTGCTAATTTTGCTTCTCACCGTCATGAAATTAGGAGTAAATTTCCCTTTCAAATTTTAATGCAATAGTATCGTGTTCTAGGTAGCCCTGCTACGCTAAACTTTATTCTGAGAACTATTCTTATCAGCTTGAATGGAAGAGAGAGGGGATACAGATTTCAAATATTCTTACTGTAATAGATGTTTATGGTTCTGGCCATTTACCTTCCTGTGGTTCCCTGCAAAACAGCTGGAGGGGCTTCAGGGGAAAGCACAGGGCGATTTCCCATCGGTGGATGAAACATCCCTCCTTTCTGCAAGGTCACTAGGCAGATCCAAAAGCAATCCCACCAATTCCGGACGCTATCGGCTTCTTAGCCGTGCTCTGCCTCGGACCACACTGCAACTGCACTCGAGGGGCTCGGAAATAGGCAGGGAGCAGCACGATGGAGCCTCCTCCTGCTGCTCAACTGCTCAGCACTAAACACTGCTGCTTGGATTAAGCGACTGAGCCACTGCCCGGTGTCTGTGGGAGCTGCACGAGGAGCACTTAGCTCGTTTGGACAGGAAAAATTAAACACGGGAACAAACGAGAGGGGAGTGCAGAGTCCTGGCATTCACTGACAGCCACGGCAGTGATGGTGGTTAGAGAAACGAGCGTTTACACCCATGGGGACATGTGAGGGGACAGGAGGAAGAAAGGGAAAATCTGCAGGAAACACTGCAATGAGGTGAGCAACTACAGCAGAGAGCAGCAACACGTGCTGCCTGCAGGGAAACGGGGAAAACGGCTGAAAATACCAACAGCAGAACAGTGACTACAACATAAATTAAGCAGACTTAAGTATAGAAAAATAAATAGGAAGCCTATGTTAAATTTTTAAACAACTCCCTATTCCACGCGCACTCGCATCAGTTCAAAGCACCCTGGTGATGGATCTGTTCCAGTGGATCCCCCCGTGGGTTCTGCTCATAACTAAACACTTTTGCACCACCTCGGCCCCCAGAATTTCAGCTTGGTCCTTGGAGGGCTCCCGAGAGCCACAGGAGAACCCAACAGGGCTGTGCCCTCCCTTCCCCTTGGCTCTTGGAGAGCACAGCCCTGGCTGATGCTGCTGCACGGTCAGGTGTTTCCAACCAACACCGTGCAGAAACACAGGCACAAACTCTAAATCCTTCCCCTCAGCGGTGAAATTAGAACAGGTCTAGCAGAGATCCCTGACAGACTATTGAATCCTCTTTAAAAACAGATTTTCAGAACACCTCCTGCCCTCCAGTTAAAAAAAAAGGCATTGAACTATAACCTTGGCAACATACAGGACTAAGCATATTACAACAGAGCAGTGAAACTAAGGACACCATTTGCTACTGTGATTAACATTAAAGCTTTGGCCCTCGCATTGGTTCAGCAAAGGCTGATGTTGTCTTTTACTGTATTAAAGCTTCCCATGCTTTCCAAAACAGACCAAGATAGATGTGTGTTCAAGTGCCGTTGCCAGAAAAAATGTATTTTGACAGTTAAAGCACATAACTCTGCTTTGCAATTCAGAGCTGCTGTTTAAATATGTAAACGCATAATATTATCTAAAACTGTTGTCTTGGATTCTGCAGTATATACGTTATTGGCCTGGCTTCGTATGAATTTGAGTCACTGCTTACACAACAGCAAACCTACCGCAATCACAGACACATTCTTAGGCTCACCTGCTGAAACAGGAAAAGTTAAAGCAATTTTTTCAATTGAGATGATTTCATCATACGAGTGACTTACCTGAAATATACATTAACCCCCCGTACACGGTTCCAGCATGGCCATAGTGGGGTTCATTCATTTTTGCGACGTAGCTCCACTCATTCATTCTGGGGTTGTAACACTCCACTGTAGCTGTTTAAAACAAACAAGCGAGAAAATAAAACCATCAACTCCAGCAGTGATTTGATTTGGAGCACAGTAGCAGTGACGTTAACATATTCATAAACAGAGGAAGTATCAATGAGAAAACACTGTTTAGCTGAGAAAGTGTCAAGGGAATTATTGAATATTATGTCGAGAGACAATGCAGAAAAGCCAAGCTTTCTCCCAGGGGAACAAAAAGGGAAAAAAAACTTCTCACACTCTTGCCTTGCATTTGCCTCCTTCCCACTCCTACCCAACAACTAACCTGCTCCAGCTCATGTAACCTGCCAGAGATACAGTGGTAGAAGGTGAGAAGGTGACAAATTTGGGTACATTCAGCTTTTTTACTCCTTTTTCTTGTTCAACCCTTTCCAACATCTGCTGTAGATACGCAAAGAATATACTGGATACATGTCACAAAAAGGGCTACCATATCCCACAAGCAGAACACTTTTCTTGGACATGGAAAAAGGTCCCATGAGAAGGGATATGGACTAAGCACAGAAGTAGATTTAAGTAACAGATCAGAGCAAGTCATGGAGAGTGGCAAGTTGAACAGGATAGTATGCCCAGAGTAAAAGATCCTAAAACACCCTGCAATATAGTGAACTTGCAATGCACAAGGGAATTATCAATAACTGGGCTACCTTAAAGGCAAATAATGAAAAATGCTAAATAATGAAAATTAGGAAGCAGATTCTAATGCCTGTTACGCAGTGCTGAAGTTCTAGAGCAATGCTTACGGACTACACACACAGAACTTAATCAGTCTTTGAAAACAGCAGTTTCCTGATTTTTCCCTCTGTGTCCTGCACACTTTAAATATCCAACTAGGACTTAGGCTGTCATCACTGGTCACTGCTGCCAGCGAACACAGGACGCAGCATTTTGCCCAGCTAAAAGACAGAGGCACCCTGAAGATTGAAGTCCACAAACCAAACCTGAGCCTCAACCTGTGCACTGCATTTAGGCATCCTGGAGCGTTGGGCATCACGCCCGGTATCTGCCCAACAACTAAATCAGCTCTTTCTCCTATAAATGTACTCACCCATTCCAAGATTCTTCTCTAAAAAGGAACCCTCGTTTCTACTCTGCTCCAATTAGCAGTCGGAAGCACAAAGATGTGCAGAAACTTCAAGCAAGGAGGCAAAATGGATTTGAAATTCCAGTAATTGTAGCTGCCCCTCTCCTACCTTGCCAGCAAACCATCCTAACCTGCCGTTAACTGCTATAATGCACCAAAAGCACCATCCAATTTGCTTTCATACCCAAAGGCATCCTCTTGGCCACAGTCTTTCCACTCTGCATTGAGGTGGGAAAATTAAGTAAAACATCACATTTAACACTGAACAACCATTTATCCCATCCTGCACTAGAGGCTGCATTTAAGACAGAATCCAGAAAACCTATAACCAAAATAACATAGCCCTTAAAGCTGAGAAGATACAACACGTAGAAACCAGTACACATTACCCTACTGAAACCTTTCTAGCACCATTTTAAGGAGACATTAACCATTTGATAAAGGCCACCATCAAGACCAAGGTCCATCACTTTGGAGGACGCCCTCGAAGACGACCGGCGGGGCTGGTGCAGCCCGTGAGAACATTTCACAAAACATCTCAATTCACATCATGCCTCTGCTGTGCTCCAAGACGGCGCTAATTTATTGCCCAGATTAAAAAAAAAAAAAAAAAAAAAAAAAAACTGCTGTTCTGTTCATTCCTTGAATATGGTTGTTTTCCCCATTTCCCTGCAGGGCCATTCATATTCTCTCTTGCTACGAGATCTCCCTCTGCACTGAAATGCAGAACACTTTTTAAATTTGACCTTTATACCAAAGTATCTCTGCATTAAAAACAAATTTAAAGCAGGGATATCTTATATAGCATCTTTATAAGGAGGGCAGAGCACAACACACTGAAAAGAGCCCCATCTTATTGTCCTTTTTTATATATACACTTACATATACTTACATATACACACACAGACTATACAATGATGGATTCACTCTCCCCAAAGGATGGGTGATTCCATCAGCTTGATGTCTGCTTTAACAGACAACTATTTGGACCCATAAATCCAGGGAGGAGCTGCCTCATTCTTACGGAATTAAGGAATCTCCAGAAGAGGCAACGCTCAGGAAGGCCGCACACATTTTACGGTGGCATCTGGGATGCTATTTGGGAATGACACAGGTCGTTGCCATTCCTGGCAGGAGCAACTGCACTGCTGGGGTGTGTTATATCCCAAAACACGGGATTCCTTTTTGTTGTGCTATTCCTGTAACACAGCTTGCTCTTGCAGAACTCCAGGCTTACTCCATTCAGTTAAACAGAGCTCTGTGTCACGACACATCTCCATCCACAGCACGGCAAGGAATTCCTCCAAATAAACTTATATTCGAGGGTCCTTGAGTTCAAACCTTGCTCTGATTTTCACAATACCGACCAGTAACAAGCAGGCTGCTCAGCTGAGCAATGCTGGAGCTTTTTTTCATCTCAGCCAAACAACATTTTATATTTTCTATATAGTCACAATAAAAGTTTTTATATAAAGGTGGAGTTGCTTGAGCTGAGAGTTTCCAAGCCACCTGGAAAATAAATACCTTCCCATTCAATGGACAAGGGTTCAGCTGATCACAACTGTCTTGCTCTGAACTAGGAGAGTTTGCTGCCTTTATTGCAGCATGATGAACAAGTTACTGCTTAATTTGTGTTTTAACCACAACCCAACATACCCAGAAGTGTTTAACAAATTGGCATGCACAAAATCTCAAATTCCTTCTTAGGAGAGACTAAGTATTTAGGAATCTGCATATACTACATTTTGTAATAGTTAAAGGCACAGTTTCTGCCATCAAGCACCAGCATAAAACCAAAACCACCCAAAATCTACTAGTCCAAGAGGAGAAACAGTATCCTGTACTCGGCACAACAGCGTAACTGGAAAAGGTCTATGACCACTGATCCACGTCATCTGCATTACTTTTCTTTTTCATTTTGTTTCATTTTCCAAGAAGCCTTTGCCTTTTCTTTTGCACCCTGAGCTTCTCCAGGTTGACCTCCTCCTTGTTCCCTGCCTTCGCCTGGGCTCACATTTAAGAACCACCAAGCAAAGTTGGGCCGAGTTTTAGGCGAACTGCAAATTTTTGCGTAGTCCAAAACTCTCAGGGACAGAGATCTGAATAATTTTATAATGTGACAAGTTTCAGAGACATGTACCACAATCTGAACCCTATAAAAATATTTAATATTTATTCCTGCAGATGATCAGGAGGACAAACAAAACCACAGAAATTCATTTTGGTAACTGTAATCCTTTGGCCCTTTTCCATCTAGCGCTGATCTTCTGCAAAGCTGAATTCAGGGTTTGCAGAATTTCTCCCTCTCTGACAACAAGAGATTGAAATTAGTTTGAACTCAAGGGCAAGTTCTTTAATACCTGTCCAACACACATTTGACCTCCGCTCATTTAAAAGCTTGGAGTTCTTCCTCATCTGAACAGAAGGGGAAATTTCAGCTGGATTTCATTTTTCAGCTGTCAAGGTTTATGAAAGAAACACAAAAATGAAAAGCAACTTGCCTCCCAATTGAACAGCAAAGGAAACCAAACCCCCAAATCAAAGCATCAGACAGCTGGAATATTTAGCATTTACCGAGTGCTTTTCCCAGGGAATGATCCAAAGACAGCTTCCAGGTCTGTGCAGAAATCACCGCGGATTTCTGTGCAGAAATTAAGGCTATTTTAATGATAGCTTTACCAAACAATTTTGGACAGGCAATTTTGGACAGGCCAAAAATTTTATGTTTTAATTAAAGCAGCAGAAGAGCGGAGGTCAGCAGAACAGCACTGGCTTGAGCTAATTTAAAAAAAAAAACACCGTTTTTAAGGCCCACATTTACTCAGGTTGCACAGGTTCAGTGAAAGTGTTATTTCATGCTGATTTTGTTCAAGTGCTGCAACTTCATCAGCACTCCCTTAAACCTGCTCTGTTGAGCTCTTGTTGCACACAAAAATAGCAAGCAGATTATCTGCTACCAGTTGAAATCATTAAAAAAATCCCAGGGAAGGCCAGGCTTTCTGATACTCTTAAGATAACAATCAATACACATTAATTTGTACATTAGGTCTTTTAAAGGGCATTGCACTTACTTTTAGAATGAATTTTGAAGGTAGATGGAGTGACATGTGAGAAAACCAGCATTTTAGCCAGTCATCCATAATTTACTCTGACAATTAGACATTTAATATAAAAACCACCTAGATTTAAATCAGAAAACAGCTGTATGGCAAAAACAAGTTATTCCAAAACAGTTTCAAGTGTCTTTTGAAACAGGCAGCATTTTAAAAATGCCCCATGTCACCATCAGACTGACTCTGCTACTCAAAACTGGGTTATTTTGGCCAAAAGTTAAAAATCTGTACGTTTCTTCACATTTGTAATCTGACCATGAAACAAAAAGTGGATTATCTGAATGGCTGAGATGCATTAAGAAAGAGAATTGCAGATAATGCAGCACAAATTAGGTTCTGCTTTCCTCAGTAAACAAAGATGCACAACGTGGCTGTAAAAAGCTGATCTTGGCAGTGAGGTATGGCCATAAGAAGGGACTGGAAAACAAGCCACGGCTGAGCAGTGGGATGAAAGCAGCAAGCAAGAGCTAATAAGAAAAAAACCTTACATATATATTAAATATATGTCTATATATTAATATGCCAACCCTAGCTACTGTACCATTTCAATTTTAGAGCACTGAGACAAATTTATAAATGACTGTTTTCCCAGATTCACGTCTAAATACAACCTCTTTTGGAAAAATGCAGTTGATTAATAGGGGCCGTGCATTACTTTTTAATTTAACGGAAGGTTTTTTTTTTAAAAAAAAAGTTATCACGTATTTATTCTTTGTTCCTAACAGTTTCCCTGGAATTAGATTTTTTTGGCAAGTGGGATGAATCACCATTGGCAAGGAGGGAGAAAGCAGGCAGCGAGACGGAGTCCTTCGTATCCATGCCACGTTAACTACGGAGCTACAATCGGATCTCAAGCAAAATAAGTAACTGCTAACAACATCCGCAGCAAGTTCTCCATGTATTTCCATCTAGAAAGCAGCAGCGTGACGACTTCAGCTTGTTTTCTCTCCACCTCTTTACAGAGCATGGAAATATTTCAAGGCTGGAAGGGAAAGGCAAGGAGTCCTGCTCCAGACGAAGCACTTACCGAGCTCACCGGCCGCGTTCCGACCACCGACCGCGTACAAATGTCCTTTGAGGGCACTTAGGTGGAAGAAGGTCCTCTTCTCGTTCAGCGACGCGACTTGCATCCACTTGTTATAGCGGGGGTCGAATCTGAAGACCGTGTCGACCGCGGTTTTGCCTTTCGTGTCGTAGTTGCTCTGGCCGCCGACGACGTAGAGGAAGTTGCCGATGACGGCGATGCCGTGTTGGTACCTCGGGGCGTCCATGGGCGCGAGCGATCGCCACTCGTGGGCCTTCTCGTCGTACATGCGCAGCTCTTTGCTGACGACCAGCTGCTGCCTCAGCACTCCCCCCAGCGTCACCAGGTGGGTGCTGTCCGAGCGGATGGCAGTCCGCTCCGACTGCATCACCGGCTGCATGTAGGGCATCATTTGGTAATTGCTGGCTTCCAAAAGCAAGTTCACGCAGGTGTTGTCAGTTCTCATGAAGTCCACCGTCTGCACATAGTTAATAAGATCCTGGGGGGTCATCAGGGGAAATCGGATGTTCTTCATGAGCTTGGCCGCGTACTCCATCCGAGGCTCCTCGTAGCGCAGCCAGCGACAGGCCGCCTTGAAGAGCTCCAGCTCGGTGCAGTGCTTAAGGCTGTTACTTGAGAGCACGAAGGCAAGACGTTCAAAGGGGAGTTTCACAAATTCACCAGTACTTAGTAACGCAGGGAAGTTCTTCAGGATGAAATTATTAACATATTTATCCACTTCTGTGAGATTGTATGTGTTGGCAATTCGCCCAACCTCAACACAGTTTTCTAAAGAAACCTATTAAGTAAATAGAAAGAGGAATCAAAACACTTTCTTAATTCGGTGTCTAAATGATAATGTAGACTTTAATGAATACTACAGAAGCAGCGATATTTTCATCTTTCTGCAACGCCCAAGGTGATTTACACACGAACATATAAATATTCAACGTGATATATATATATATTCATGACTGCAAAGGAAGATCCAATATATTCCATATTTTGAAGAAAGAAGCGAGACAAGTATCAAGCAGATGGCATGTATTAATTGTCAGATGCATTATACAACAATGATACATAGCAATTATATAGCACTTCATCTCTGAATGCTCTGCAAACACGGTTTTAAGTTAGAACTGTGGAAAATATTGACAAACAGGAGGTGATTAGCCCAAGGTTACAGGATGGCCTCAAGTTGTGCCAGTGGAGGTCTGGGTCCGATATTAGGAAAAACATCTGTATGGAAGGAGTGGTCAAGCATGGGAACAGGCTACCCACAAAAATGGTGAAGTCACCGTCCCCAGCAGTGAGGCACTTCGGGACATGGTGGTGATGGGTTTATGGTTGGACTTGATGACCTTAAAGGTCTTTCCAACCATAATGATTCCACGAACTCTATAATGATGCGAGAAGAGGACCTGAGATTTATGCTAAACCAAACCTTATTCATAGAAGTTGTCTAATCATCTTGGCCAAAAGCATGCCAGCCACCCCTCAACATGCACAATTTCCATAACTCCTTCGTGATTCTCATAGAGTCATAATGCCAAAAGAATTCAAGTTTCCAAATCTCACGGCTATTTAAAATACATACATATTAAGATTGAGGACTGCCACCTGACTGTAGCCTCAGCATCCAAAAACCTGAAGGTCATGACGGAGATTACAAGATTCTTCTACTGCATAACCTGAATCTCATCATTGTCCTTTAATACTAGACAGTTCTGAAAGTGTAATGAGTATGAAAATAGCAGATATATTCTTTTTATTCAGTAGAAACTGATCTGACTTGTGCTAGAGTGAATATCTGCAATCATCAAAAGTCTTTGTTCAAATGTCCTGAAATGCCTTTGGAGAGTCATTGGCTCCGTGTATCTTATTTTTCATCTCTATAAACACTAATCCTGTAATCAAGATTAATCCATGCGATTAATGCATGGCAGACTAACAGGATTTCCATTACAATGCATCTATGCCATGTATAAATAACTAGGCTATACTGTAAATCTTCGCGATTGAATATATTCCTGCAATGCTTACCCTGGAGAAAAGAACTCCTAATTTTGCACCACTAATGTCAGGTGAACATCACATCAGCAGCTTCCAATCACCTCTACTGTTTTACCTTATTTCCCTATGCTGCCTTTTTCCATCTATTGGTGTTGTACTGTACTTTTGTCCATGCATATGATGATTATAAGCAGGCTCCAATACTTACGAAATTTGGTTTAGTAATAATTCCATCACTGACCTCAAATTAGAGTACCATATTAAGTATTTTCTTGAAAGTTCCTTTCCTTGCCTTTCATTTTACTGTGTTTTGAGAAAATAATCAACAAGCTGGACTAAAACTTATTGCAAAGAATTATTTCACAGTCATAAACAGTACTTATCTCAAAGATTCCTAAGTCTTTAGAGACAGAAATATAATCCTTTAACAGAATGAAATATAATAGTCACCTCTAAATACTTTAAATTGGACAGAGTTAAAGTCCAATAATGCTATTTAAACACTTAAGTTACTGAAGTGTTGATTAATAAAGTTGAGATTTTCTGATAAAGTCTCTTTTCCTTGATACTCCACTTTGACTATAGGAGAGAGTTGCTCTTTCACAACATTTACTCACTACAAACCAGAAAACAGACCTCCAGAAATTTTGAAAAGCTTTAAAAAAAGCAGCTAAACACCATTTGGGAAAAAATCC